TAGGGAAATCAAAACTGGTTCACAGTCCTCATTCTCACTTGTGATGAAATGTGGGACTCAAATACTTCATCACTCATCCTGTACATCTCCTAATATATTGAAGGCACCAGTATTTCAAGAATTTTTTTGGCCCCTGAAAGCAGATTAACCAACCAACCAAATTATCAAAAGAATTCCATGAAAGAAGTATCTTAACATACGGTCATTTTTTATGTTAGACACATTAAAAACAAACAATCAATAATAATTCCCAGACCTTCTTTCTCACACCACAATTCTGGGATGGCCCAGAAAAGGGAATGTCAAGCAGTCAATCAACTTTGCAGTCCCATTTTAATCCGCCTGTTACAAAAATGAGTTCTGAATTTCCCTTCTCTTGCTTTGCTTTAACATTACACCATCTATAATCCCCTTGATTTTCCTTAGGAACATTAGTGTTCAGGCTCATTAACGTGCAATTTTGTCTTTAGGTTTTAGATAAAATCAGCTGTGCTGAGTCTTCTGAAACTAAATTTGATGTAGAAGGCATCACATCTTGTTTTCAGAAACTCTCTGGGATCCTCTGCTTGAAATAAAAAAAGTCTTCAATTTTTTACTTCATGAGATAAAAGGTCACTTTTGTCATGCTGCTGCTAGGGTTGCGTATCATTAGTTATGGCCCAAAAGTCAGAGTTTTGGGGGCAGAATACTTGAGTAAATTACTGCTTCATTGCTTTCAAAACTATGAAGATGGGAATCGGAAGCCTAATGCTTACTAATTCCTCCAGAATCCTTGAAGTAAACAAGAGCTAACAGTAAGAGAAAAGACGGACTTTAAGACAGATAGCATTACAGTTGCCAGACCAGAAGTAAAGGTCCGAGTAAGCAAGCCACAAAGGAGTCAATGGCTCCTAATCTCTAATTAACACAGAAGCCTACAAGTGCAACACAGCATGGGCCCAAAGCTAATTGTCTTTGCCGGGCCTATTCTGCCTCCACAGGGCCCAAGGAGATGTGAAGTATCACCAGCTTGAAGTCGGAGCGATTGGACTATGCTGCAAGACCTTTGGAGAATTTGATAATGACATATATTTTGCAATAGCATCAACATTCCCAGTCATGTGAGGGTGTCCATTGTAAAAGCATTTTTCATTCGCACACTTGAAAATTAACCTAATCTGGGGAAGCATGTCAGGATCAAATATGAAAAAAAAAAGTTTAAGCTGCCTTTTAGTACAACTGATCATAGAATACTATTCAGGTGATAAAATCATGACACAGGTACTTAAATAATCCTGTACTTGGTTTGCAAAGAGGAAGAAGGCACAAAAGGTTAAAGAAGAATGCTTTTATTCAGCTTTTAGCTCTCACAGTTCTAAACAGTAAATGTAATTAACAATTTATACATGGTACCAGAGAACATAGTCCTGGTATCAGTAAAATGTCTACTGTTTAAGGCACTGATAGTGGGAAGAAAAAAGAAAAAATACATAACATGAATTGCTCCTATTTAACCCGAATTTGAATCTATTATGAATATGTGCTTGTTATTCAAATGCTTAAAATTCCACAAGCTATGTTCACAAACATTTCTACAACTTCAGTAATTATTGAAACAGGAATCAGTGGCTCCCCTAATTTGACTTAAGAGCAAATATTGCATTACTTTGGAGTGGAATCAAATTTTAACCTACTAAAAGAAAACAAAACACAAATTACTTCAGCAGTATGGCTTTAAGACCCTGTATTTGGTTACAATATAGCAAGCGAAGTTAAATAACAGCATACAAGTGCCATACACTGTCATCTTAAAAGGAGCCGTTTTACAATATAAAAATTAGTTTAGAACATACTAAAGCCAGGTTTTGTACAAACATTTTTACAAAACCGAATTACTCAAAGGAAAAAAATCAAGAACATTTTAAATATGAATTACTCTTTATATGTCGTATGCATAAAATTACTTATCTTCAGGATATAAATTAGGAATACTACAAACTTTTTAAAGCTAGCATCCATATACTACTGAAATGCACACATCAGAAATACTGAAGTGTTAGTTCTGCAAAAATCCTTAAGAGTCACATTTATACTTGCCAAACAGATACACAGTGACTTCAGTTTCTGAAGGAGCCACAGTGACCTCCCGTGGCCACTTAAGAAATCCCTGTCCTCAACCTTTTCTTCGATTCTGAACATGACATTCCTCACAAGTGCTAATAAACTTAAAAGGTACAACAGTGGTTCAAGCTTGGTCCATCTGTCCCAGGAATATACAATATTTCTGTTTGAAATGAGTATAAAGGAACTTCACGGAATCTAGCTCCTGGCCACAGAAACAAAGTCATGTCACCTCTCTGATCTATCAAGAACTGGTTCCAGAACACTTTAGAGAACTGTTTTCTGAGGGTCAATGAGAGACGATGTTCAACAGATGTTCAACACATATGAGGCTCCCAAATACATAACTTCGGCTTTTGAGAGGACAAAGGAAGGAAATGTAAATTGATGCCGTCTGACTCCAAGTCCAAGGCAGAACAAGATAAAGTTGTACAAGACATTTCAAACGTGTCAAGTGCATTGGTATAGAAAGCCCAAAAACATTTTAAAAAGAAACGAAGTGTAACAAAAGAATCCAAAAGTCAATTAGGTGCCTTCTTCCACTGCTCTGGAGCAATGTAACAAACAGGAACAAAACATTGTCTTCTATGCCATGAACATACGAACAACATGAAACACCACAAAAATCACAGTAGTGACTGCCTCTCATCTGTAGTACATTAATCAACACTTACATTCTACTGCTTATAAATCCTCTCTGTGATATCCAACTTTCTTTCCATTTAGTGACTCTTCTGTGTTTGGTGCCAGCCATGTGAAATATACCTTCACTGGATCAATGTTCCAATGCTTGTGAAATGATACTGGAATTTGGTGAGAAAGGTAGCCTTTTGGGTAGTCCATTGGCCTTGCCTAAGATGGAAGAACAAAACCAAAACCACTAGTACTTGGTGATGAATAAGAATTTTAGAACAAGAAACTACCACCGTTCAATGCCCTCTGTATCCTAACAAAGCAATATGGCATTGACAAAATACACAAGAAAGCAAAGTGGTTTTTTACATCACTCTATTAAACCCATTGATAGGCATTAGTTTAGATCTTCAATTCATGCTGTAGTCATGCTATGAAGTACACTGATATTAAATATACACTATTTCTCAGGATTAAACGGTCAACATCTACGAAAGCAAGTGATAAACAGTATAGTTTGTATGGATCTTTCTAAATATACAGTTTTGGTTCAATAATGACAAAATTATTTTAAATAATATTCTCTTGCTCCTCCTTCTAATGAGAGTTGCCAGCACTGCCGGTGTGAACTGTAGGATCCTAATAAAGCCATAAGCAGCAAAAACAGATAAAGTCTTATGATGGGGAAAAGTTACCAAATGCAGGAAATACCGTGGTGCCAGATGACTGCACTGTTATTCTTTATCAGGCTATATCAAAAGAGACAATTGCAACACAACTATATGACGCAGCTGACTTCTTATGCATCATTACATAAAAAAAGCCCCACTCGTAGTGGTCCCCGGTAAAATAACTAGATTTTGCCACTGTAAATAGAGTTTTTGTAGAGAGAAATACATGAAATGCACATGTTTGGTTTTTTCTAGATGTAAAACACAAGAAGAAAATTGAGTGGTTTGGATGCTGAATCACTGATTTAATGCCTAAGCTAGGAGCTGATTTAACACTGCACGCTCCACCTACTTATGGTGGTATTAACGAATTCTACGTGCTGTGTTCTCCATGCAGTTCTGTATACACTCCAGTCATAAAATCAGGCAACAGAATTTGACATTAAGAAACCTGAATAGATTTTGGTGGTTTGATAATTATAAAAGAATGAGATCCGCTCTAATAACTATCACTTTTATTCATTGCTTTCTAAGAATCATACTGCTTTATAGGTGGTTGACCTTAAGATATAAAGTCCCTGAATTTCTTCCTCCTCACATTTTGTGGCATCAATTATTATAATCTTCACGGGGTTTTTGTGCTACAATTTGTATTTGGTATTTTACAAAAGCCAAAGACATTGCTCTTGCCCAGATTTTATATTTTTAAGACCGCAGTCCTGGCTGGTACTCAACATGGGACTGTTCCTGTTCTCTTTAAGCGCCTCATAATGTCAAAAGCCTCCGGAACAGGTTACAGAATACATATCTACCTTAGCATGTAGCAAACAGGAATCCAGTAAGAGTGAGTAAACACTGCTACATCACAGACACCCACCCTAAGGATGAAGATCTCTTTGCTTGTGTTTCATAATGTATACTCAGCACAGTTCTGGACTCGTGCTTCAAGGAACACTGCACATCATAATATTCCATTCAAGTCTTTAAAAATAATTTTCCGGTTGACAGAAAATCCAATTTTGGTTTTCTCATTTTAAAAATATTTGTTGCACAATAGTGGAATTCACAGAATAAGCACACTCTATTTTTATTCAGTAGTTTTCCCCCCAGGGTTAATTTTTGTTCAAGGTATGTTAAATTAGAATTTGTTATAAGCAACAGTAAAGATGAATTACAATCCAAGGGCAATTTTCTACATGGAAAATCAAACTGCTAGGATTTCACTTTCAAAGTGATTCAGTATCAAATGCACACCATTAAAGATTACAAGGAAGTGCTTTGCTTTGCTGTACAAGGGATGTTCCTACAAATCTGTAAAATGAGTTCTGTTCTTTCTGCCTCTCCTTTAATTATGTGGGGTTTTTTTAAAAAACCATCTGTGCAAGCACAAATCATTCAATAACTCTGTCGATTTTATAAGATGCAGTACTTGCTTTCTTTCTACACTGAAAGGAGCAAGCGATGATAAACAAAACAGGAAAGTAAACAGATATGATATTTTATATGGACAAGAATTAAAATATTGAATAGTGCATTTCTCAGTCTTCCCATTCCTCTAAACAGTAAATGTAATCAGAAAGAGAACCTTAACATAGGAAAAGCTGATAATTTAATTAGCAAACTTTCCCCCCCACTGACAGCTGCTTTGAATTACATGGCAATTTACTAATTTTCAAGTAGCCTATTATCTTAATCTCAGTTCATATTCAAACACACAGGTCTTCTCATTTTTTGAACTAGATTAACACCTGAAAAACACTGAACACTACACTGATTTAAATGCTGATTTTAAAAAAGTTGTGCACTGTGAATCTTAAGTGCTTCTTCTCTTTAATGCCACGGGAGGAAGGTAAAGTGTTTATTTGGTTTGCGAGGCAGCAAATCTCTTGGGACTCAGTGCATCCTGTTTTCCACTGTGACATTACAGTTAGATTGTTAAATATTCTGGAAGACGGAAACAAGATTCGAATCTATTCCAACTCACTTCTCCCAAACCAGAGAATATACTCACAAGAAAGTTATGTTTTGTGACCTCTTTTTCCCTTGTGCTAGCATAGAGCAATTTATCATATTTATATCATTCTTCAGAATCCACCAGAAAAGCAACAGTTCTGGGAAAACTTTTAGATTTTATATCTTCACTAATGAGATATTTCAGAACAGTAAACACTGTATCAATAGAAAAATTGGATAAGTAGAGAAGACAAATTTACTGAAAAATTTCACAGTCGGTTCTCCATTATCTGAAGAAAAACATATTGTAGTGTGTTGTTAGTTTTTTGGGGGTTTTTTCCTTTTCTTAGAGGACATATCACAAGTACTCAAAGCATGTGGCTCCTAATCTATTTGTTTTTCAAAGTTTCCACCTCTTATTTTTTGTATAAAATGCAGTTCTTACAAAATGCATTTTTATAAAATGTAGTCATAGGTTAACTGAAATATCTTACAAACTATTAAAGCACCGTAGTAATCCATGCTTTGAGAATATTCTTATTTGCTTGATCAAACTTGTTCTGGAGAGAAACAAGGTATAGCAGCAGCATCTAGCTTATCGTTATTGCACATTGATCGAGTTTGCAATATTTATGAGTCCTGTTTTACGTGTACACTTATAAGAATGAAATGTATTTCAAATACTAGTAAAAATAACTCTCTGACCTGATGGAAAAGTGGACTATGTGTTATAGGGATTCCTAAGCCACTGAAACACATCCCAAGGACCATATCATCAGGCGCATCCATGCTGTAACACCGGCATTTACTAGCAAGTAGTTTCTGAACAGCTATTCTGCTGAAAACCATCCTGAATAAAAAAAGCAAACGAAACATGTAAGACAGTAACTACTAGAGAAGCCAAATGACTGTAATTAATAAATATTGCTAAATGATATAAAACTGCAAGATAAAATGTAGCCCTCTGGTACAACATATCTGAAATTTCAAAATTTGAGAAGTCAGTACTGACAAGTAGTGCAAGAGATACTTTCAGAAATAGAATTACTTTATATAATGAAAATTAATTATACCAGTTATGCCCATTGTTGTTATTCCAACGATTACTTAGCTAGCCACCATTTTTACTGCAGCTGATAATTCCTCCTAAATTTGGCCAGGACTTTAAAGAAAAATTCTCCTCTATCTTACTCAAATGTATTGTCCAGTTAGTCATCATGTAGCAATTAAATGAGAAGAACTCTAAACCTGAACCGTCATTCCTTGAATTCTCTGTTATACAGAGTTCTCTCCAGAAGTGAAAATGTTCCTTGAAGCCATTGCAAGGCTCTTCTATTTATCCTAACCTTTTTGCCCATCTAAATATCAACCAGAGCCTGAAGCTCTTAGATCATTATCACTAAAATAAGCCCTCAATAGACCAAAAACCTGATGATGTCTTAAATTTAACAGCTGAGGGAATATACTCGTCTACTATTCCACAGCTACCTTTTCTGAAGTTACATCATCCATCTAGTCCAATCAGAATACAGGGTACTCCAGCTACTACAAGTTATACTAACACGATTCACACTTTGAAATCACTACATGGCTTTATGAGTTCATTCACTACATGACAAACCTTCACTTGACACTGGGACATAGCAAAACTTCTACAAATACTTAATGCTAAGTCAAAAAGACTGACCTGAGAATATTGTCAGATTAAAGCCGTAAAAGACTCCATCACTATCATTGCAACTTTGAAGACTGCATGTATCATAAAAAGAAAAAAAAAAAAAAAAGGAGAGCACAATAGGAAGTTGTATCCTAGTACTCAGATCACATAGAAAAGGAATAATAAGCTAGAGCCTTACGGAAGGTGGGGGTGGGTGGGGAAGAGTTGGAGTTGGCGTTAGTGACCAGCATGTGTTGCTACACAGAAGGTGTGACACAAATTGCACACTTTTGGGGAATGTGTTTGCTAGTTGATTATCTGGATAGTGTCCCTTCAGTTATACAGAATTCTTCACTTACAGTGAACCTTCTCAAAATTAAGGTATGAAGCAAGATGGATGATCTGTATCTCTATCTGCTCAAACCTGAGAATGAAAACAACCTCCAAATTTCCACATCTAGATGACAGAATAGAAACTAAGATATAAACACTAAAAAGATATAGAAGTATAGGACTGGTAACCAACAAACATATCAGCACCAGTTTGTTTCTTAACTCATGCATAAACCCTACATAAGTAAGACCTTATGCAACTATGCAAAACAACGAGAAAGCCAGTCAATTGGTTTTTACTTACTCATGGATGGATAAGAATCTAGAAAGTTATTATAGCCACTACTTTTCACAGAGAAAGACACTAAGGACATTCAGATATCCACACTACTTGCTTTAGACACACAAGATGGACAGATCAAAGTCTTAAGACGGTTCTTATTGCAATATGGGCCAATCTGAAAGTTCCTATACATGTTCATTTAAACCAAATTTTGCAACCACAGGGACCCATGTGTCTCATGCATAAGATCAACCCACAATTATCTCTTTCTACGAGAAACTATTTTCCAGGACATCAACATCAAACTCCTTGCTCAGCCACGTCTCCATAAATCATTGCACGAAGTTCAAAGACAGAAGGAGAATCACAAACATTTTTCTCCATGCTTGGACAAAGAAAGAGAACAGGAATGAATATTTTCCTTGCAGCAATTTGTATCTCCAGGTGTGCTGCTTTGGGTTCTCCTGCAAACTCCATAACAGTTCAGATCACGAGGGTACTTTTTTAAGCAACTATCCCAATTGTCTCTGCTTACTACACTTTGAATCGCATTGTAAGGTGGTCTCTGAGTACGCAGAATGAATTCTATCAGATGAAACAAGGCTGCATGATGTGGTGCAGATAATAGGCACTCAGTTCACAGTCAAGCTGAAATGACCCCTTCTGAAACATGCACAGTCCTCAGCACCAACTGCTTTGCTCTACAAATCTGTTCCCAATGGGCAGTACAACTTCTTACTAGCTAGGACACATGGGTCTTTGAGCATCACTACGTTTTAATTGTACTAGGAAACATCACTGTTTCTGTTGAAACTGATTTGTGTTGTAATTCAAAACATTTGCACTCAAAGAAGGGACTGATGTAGATCTCAGTAGGAGTTTAAATAAATTACCCTCCTCCGCCAGTGATATAACTATATCCTCCTGTTCCCAAGCCGTAACCGTAACGTTCTCCAAGAAACACTGGTTCATTTGGGTCATAGCAACTGAGCAATCTTCGGAGTCTGAAGATACTATAATATGAAAATCCATTAAAAAAAAAAAAATCATGTAGATATCGATTCTGAAATGTCATTGCTAGCCTAAATGGCATTCTTGTAAATAGCACAAAAATCATAGGAGAAATTCAGAAATACTACAACAAACAGAGATCCAAGCTGTTAAACAGAAATTTATGACGGGTTATTTACTATGAGATATGACTGTTGAATTTAGTCAAATGATGAATCAATTAGCTTAAAATATTTTTCTGAACCAGGCAAAGTTTCTCAGCAAAAATCAGTCTTATCTCAGAGAAAACACGAAATTATTTTTTCCAAAGAATGGTAAGATCTTTCCAAATGATCTTTTCTCCCCAGGAATTGAAAAACAAAAGTGTAGATTTAGTTATACAAATACTGCTTTATCTACAGTTACACACTTCTAAATTCTTCTGTCACATGACTTAATGTAAAGTATTGTCTTGAACGACTTATTGTCATGTTCATGCCCACAGGATCTTGCTGGTTGATCACTGTGCCTTATTTCACTTCCACTGCAGTGTCAGATTTCATGCAAATAGGATCTGATTTTCTAATAAAGGCAAGTCCTCAGACAACTCTACAACTGACCCTAGCTTATGGAACCTTTCTTCTGACACATTTATGTGAGGAATACATCTTAGAAAGTGTATTAGCAAATGACTAAAACCAAGCAGCTCAGACATATCTATACTTAAGAATCACAATGCGTAATGATATTCACGCTATACGACTACATAACAACACTAATATGCATAGTTTTTATCAAGTTACAAGATTATGTTGTTTTTAACATCAGTCAAGGAATGCTGAAGGAAAGTAACAATTTTTTTTCCTTAAAGGAATATAAAGCCACGTAACTAATAAAACAGCTGTATCTCTTAAATACAGAAGAAGAGGTGAATATTGCCAAAGTTTCTATTGATATGAACAGTGATAATTCCTAAAGTACTACAATGTATACCTTATCAGTGTGTCATCATCCACTATGACTAACCAAGGAGTTCTGGGAGAGCTATGATTCAAAAACCTTTCCAAAATGGCAAAAGTTTTCCCACAGTGACCTAAAGGAAGAGAAATAACAGAATATACATTTAAATAAAATGAGATTTTTGTAATAAACAAAATAAACAATTATTCATAAATGAAACAAATATTTTACTGCACTATGCAAAACATTTTGGAAATGATCAGCAAAATATTTGAGATGCAAGTTTAAATTACACCCTTCATTTCGCTGAATGGTATTTGTACAAATTGTTCCAATATAACCATTGCTTTCTATGCAGGAACATACTTTTGTATGTTGGATGTTGAAGTATGGAAATTCTTTGAATTATAGAAATCTGAAAAATAAACTTTATTCCAGCTATCCTGTTAAGCTGTTGGACAATACCTGGCAAACTGCTACTCTTAATTTTGAAAACAGTAAAATGAGCAGACTATGATAGAAGTGTGTTCTGCAAAATACTCCATGATATTTTCATAGCATTTTGTGATGCATTGGGCAGGTCCATTGCTTTTATACAAATACTTAAGTCTACATTAATCTACCATAGTCATCATCAGCAACTCAGGTCCTGGTAACTTCCTCCAAGGAAAGGTCTTAATGGCTATAACGAAGTTGAGAGGTAAAACACCCTTTACTAGGAGTCAAGAAGTGAAATACCATGACAAGAGAAACAATAAGTTTCAGACTTCTATTGGATCTTCTTTAGATCTCTGAAAAATTGAACTGCAAACAGCATTCATCTAGATTACAGGTGATTGTCTAAAGCAATTATCGCTGTCAATATTACAATCACTGAACATTAAAAAATAAGGATAGGATACTATATTTGAAGCAACTTCCCGTTAAAATTGGGGTTTTTTTGAGAGAATGCAGTAACCGTGCTTAAGAAATGAAGGAATTCCTGGCTTTGCTGATTTTGTGAAAACATGAACTTAATGCAGACTGATACACAAACATTTACTAAATTAAACCCAAGATTTCTATATCATAGTGCATCACGAAAGATGGACAAAAATAGTATAAGAGCAAATTCAGCACAATTTGTTTCGTTTAGAACGCCAGTAGCCCACTGGTCCCACTGGTCCCCATGGCAACGCTCAAAGGCCAAAGTTCAGTCCCTTCCCCGTGGTGTGACTAGAAATACTGAGCACGGCTTCTACAAATGACCCACACATGCCCAGTAGGTCTGCTGCCTCCTGAAAACACTCACTGGTTGCACATGTCACAATGCACCTGTGCAAATGGAAATCCTTGCTTACTCTCTGCCTCTAATAGACCCTGTGGAGGACAAAAAAAAGGGCAGCTGGAAAGCTGGAAATAATCCAGAGATCAGAACAACTGACCTAGTGGGCCAGATAAAGCTAATAGACCACAGCTTGGACACCTCTAATTCAGAAGGTAACAGACTGTGGCAGAGACTGTAAGTCTAAGAACAACAGATCAAATGAAAGAAAAAACCCTAAAATTAATCAGCTCACAGAAGCCATCATATCCATAGCCTAAAACAACATTATTTGTCATAAAACAATCTTCCAACCTAAATGTTCAGTTTTCAGGCTTAAATCAAGACATACTAGGCACAAGCATAGGATATCTGAATACCATACAGCAAGTAGTTTCTGCTTAATAACCAGTTGGCACTGGCTGAGGTCTTCTGAAATAAATCTATGACTTCTGCTACTACTGATCATCTTATTCAAGATTGTCAATAACTCAAGAGTTACTATCCTTACCTCAAGTAATAACACCAATTTTTGTCTCTTGGAGTGTATAAGTGTACTGTGCTTTCATACTCACAGTATTTAGGTTTCTACTTAAAAGACCATTCTACCTACACAGGTGAACTCTACTCTCCATCCATTTCCTGTGTGGCAAAAGCATTCTCTTAGTTTAGGCTGCATAAATGTGCTATAGAAATACGGAATTTCTAAATTATGTACTATACATGAAACACACCTATTATACATAAGACAGGATCCTTAGACAATTATTTAGCAAAACTGACAACAACAGTCAATAGCTCACCTCTATCAGTATTAGGTACGCCTAAATCTATAGTAGGAATGGAGATGTCTGCATAATCACTGTAGTATTCAATAAGGGCAGCTTCTCTTTCCCAAGTCTGCTTTACAACTGGGACTGCAAAACAATAGTTGACATTGAAACAGAAGTCACTTGATTAAAATAAGTACTTGATCAAAATTTATGCACTTTGTTAATTACCATACTCCTTCGCATGGTAATGAAAACGCTGTTTCAAATACAGCACTGTGGCTCTAAATGTTTATTCTTTTTTCTTTCCTACAATATTTAGAGAAAACAATTCTACATTTTTATGAAAGCCAGTCAGGGTAGTTTTATTTATATAATACTAAATTTCTTTTAAAATATTACACTGAAATCTATGATGTTTACACTTATGTTAACCAAAGTACGGAATTCATTACTTTTACACTTGCTATGGTAGACTTTATAGCACACATCAGCGTGAACACCACGAGAGATCAATTGTTCTTCCAGTATTGAAACTGTCACATTTTTAAACAGTACATCCAACTGTAGTGTATCAAATATTCTGAATCAGAAACAGACCAAATGCACCTTTTGAAATACTACACTTGTGTCATATATACATCATATCTGACAATGTCACAGTAATGCTCAAAAGCACCTGTGTCTGGAGACACACTCACAGAAGCACATTTATAAATATCATACAACCAATTTTGTGATCCCATGGAGATTCTATTCAAGGGAGGACTAATGCTTCTCTACAAAAGCAATCCTTTTCTTATGAGTTGCCATTTCACATAAACATTTAAAATTGATGACACAAAATTCTAATAATGATGCTATGAATGTTTAAATTGCATCGAGTGAAGAAATTATGGGTTTCACCAAAAAAAAAGTCAAACACCTCCAAGGTGTTTGGCAGAGAACTATCAAATTACAATAATGATCTCTTTTCCATTTTAAAAATTAAGTAGTCAGGACTTAAGATGAGCAAAGACTCTGAAGCACTGTCCATTCTGCTATCATCATTTGTCTGATTTATGTTGTTTAAACACCACCCAGTAGGTCTCATTGGTAGCAGCTAGTTCTTTAAATGGAGGGAATTTTTATGTAATTTCCCTTTGCTGCTATATAACTCTGATGCTTGTGAACAACTCATTTTAGCCACTTGCTGGAATCATCCATCACCTAACTTGATGTTTGCTGCTGTACCGGGTTGGTGTGGCCAGGTTTTGGTAGCAGGGGAGAGCTACATGGGTGGCTTCTGTGAGAAGCTGCTAGAAGCTTCCCCTATGCACGACAGAGCCAATACCAGCTGGCTCCAAGACGGACCCACTGCTGGCCAAGGCTGAGCCCATCAGCAGTGGTGGTAGAGCCTCTGTGATACCTTATTCAAGAAGGGGGAAAAAAAACCTGTGCCACAGCAATTGCAGCCAGAGAGAGGAGTGAGAATATGTGAGAGAAACAATGCTGAAGACACCAACGTCAGTGAAGGAGGGGAAGGAGCAGAGATTCCCCTGCAGCCCGTGGTGAAGACCATGGAGAGGCAGGCTGTCCCCCTGCAGCTCATGGAGGTCCACAGTGGGGCAGATATCTGCCTGCAGCCCATGGAGGACCCCATGCCAGAGCAGGCAGATGCCTGAAGGTCCTGGCAGGACCTGTGGACCCATGGAGAGAGGAGCTCACACTGGAGCAGGTTTGCTGGCAGGACTTGTGACCCCATGGGGGACCCACACTGGAAAAGTTTGTTCCTGAGGGACTGCACCCCGTGGAAGGGACCCATGTTGGAACAGTTCATGAAGAACTGCAGCCCATGGGAAAGACCCACGTTGGGGAAGTCATGGAGGACTGTCTGCCATGGGAGGGATCCCATGCTGGAGCAGGGGAAGAGTGTGAGGAGTACTCCCCTGAGGGGGAAGGAGCGGCAGGGTGTGATGAACTGCCTGCAACCCCCATTCCCCGTCCCCCTGCACCGCTGGGAGGGGAAGAGGCAGAGAAATCTGAGTGAGGCCAGGAAGAAGGGAGGGGTGAGGGAACGTGTTTTGAAGATTTGGATTTTATTTTCTCATTATCCTACTCTGATTTGATTTGCAATAAATTAAATTAATTCCCCCAAGTCGACTCTGGTTTGCCTGTGATGGTAACCTGTGAGTGACCTCCCTGTCCTTATCTTGACCCACGAGCCTTTTGTTATATTTTCTCTCCCCTCAACAGAGTGGCTTTGGTGGACACGTGGCATCCAGCTACAGTCAACCCACCAGTTCTTTAAATGGAGGAAATATTTATGTAACTTCCCTTTGCTGCTATATAACTCCGACGCTTATGAACAACTTGTTTTACCCCCTTGCTGGAATCTTCTATCACTGAATTTGATGTTTGCTGCCTACCTCCTTGCTCACTTTCCTCTACTCTAATCACACACAGACTAGAAGGATTTATTATTCTTGACTGAGCAATAATCAGTTTGATAACACTAAAATGAATTGAAAGGTAACTGTTAAGACAGAGTAATAGGAATTCAACACACTAATGGAAATGCTTTAATATTTATAAAAAAATATAACTTCACTTCTGTAGCATTGTGCAATGGCCAATACTGCTTTTAAAAGTTTTTAAAGAAACTTAAAACTGCTCTCAATTTTTGCATCAAAAATCCATAGAGAATTACGTACCAAAAATGTGTTCATACAACATTATGGGAGTTTTTAAAAGCAAAGCCAGGAATTTCACCATGCAATAACTCTACATCCTCTATGTAATAAAAAGTCATATTCCACCATATAACATTGCATGGTCAGGCACTAATTGGCAGAGAATGCCATGCAAACCTTTTTTATTTTTCCCCAGCTAGAAAAAGAAAACAATTAGGCAGGAAATTATTTTCTTATTTTGTGGAAATGTTCTATTTAAAAAAAGTTTCTCAGAAGAACAAAACCAGAAAGCTTTCCTAAACAAAAGCCCCAGTATAGGAGCATCACAGATATACCAAATGCTTCCAACCTTCACCTGTCAGAAGAGACACACCTGTAAAGGCTGTTTTATCTTTCTCCAACCAAGGATCAACCTCAGTAGGTCTTTAACATACACAACTCTATATTATTACAGGCTGCGACTCTTAATTTCTTCGGTGGAGTCCCCCTTCTTTGTGTAAAGGAAAAAAAGTTCACTGAAGCAAGGACCTGAGTCTCACCTCCGTTAAATGCTCTAACAAGGGGGCTCCCAGCTATAGTGTCTTTCACTTTTCATCACTTGTTTTGACAGAAGCGTCACTATTCAGACTAATGCCTATTTTAAACTGAATCCCACAATACTTCGTCATTTCTAACAACTCCTATGTTCTAAACAAAGAATAACTACATGAAATTTCAGAACAGCTTTTGATGAAAATATTTATCAATACGTATTAATACTTGTGATCACGCAGAAGATTTAATACCGCACTACAGAGATATTTACAGGTCAGCTCTAAGCTCTTAATTATATTTTATTTGTGCTACTTCTAAAACCTTGACATATGTTTGCAGTCTTGAAATTTTCTTATATATCCATATATACTAAGTGCAAGGAGAGTTGCATCTGAAGTAAATTCTTAAGTAAAATTTAGCTGCTTTTGCACATCAAATTCCAAGCCTTAATGTTGTGCTAATGTAGTTTTTGGCATACAATAAAAAATGACTTACCAGGTAAAAAGAGCTCTCTGAAGCTGGCATCCATTAATCTTTCAAAATCTTGAGTAAGATTATCCTCTATTGCATAACACTGGAAGCTGTGAGGAAAGTTCAAGAATTTTCCTCAGTCTTCAACAGGTGTTTCTTGAAGAATGTTTATGCTATCTTTTTGAAGCCTTATGTTCTTTTCTGACTTTCTAGGTTTGTTGTTTTTTGTTTTAATTTTGATTTAAGAAAATAAACATGGATCCAGAAAGGAGAACTCTTCAGTGAACTCCAATTACAGGACAGTCAATTTTGTCTTGTCAAAAGCTACTTCAAAAACGGCCTAATGATTAAGTGATTAAAATACTAGAAATGTGCCTTCATCAAGCGCAGTAATATTGAGAAAAAAATTCATAAATCTTATTTTGAAGAAAAAAACCCCAGCAACTGGCAAATAATCCAAATTTAGAAGTGACAGAACCTACAGTTTTGGATGCATTAGCAAAGGGGGACTTAGTCAAGAAGAGAGCTTTTATCTTCATCCTGTCCTCTGACAGCTTTTGCCTCTGTGGCAAAACCCCCCCAAAATTTGGTACAACTACTAGCCGTTACTTCATTTTCAATTTTTTTGCTAACAATAATCACTTTAAATTATGCTTACGAACAAACTAAGCCTAATGGTGACAATATTACATACCTGAAGTATTCAAGGGCACACAAAATTCCTGGTAAATGAACCCATTCCCGAATTTCCTTATTAACAAAATGTCTACAAGTAAACTAGAATGGACTGGTAAGTGGCACCAAGTAGGAGGAGTGTCTTCTGTTAAATCAGTGGATGTGGAATGTTTCCTTTGAAGTTTCGCAGGCACTGGATCTACCTCAACTTAGCTGAGCCTTACTGTTCTAGTTGAAGCTGCGTGTCTCCATGTCTTTATTTTCTGTGCCCCTGAGAAGGAAGTTAATACTCACTGGACGTATCTTGTTGGGCTGTGCTAGGTTTTTTTGTTTGTTGTTTTTACATGGATATCATGGTCATATTTTCATGGTGACTATCATTAGTTGTATAATATGACAATTTCCAGATGAAACAAGCTATAGTGTTGCATGCTTGGGAGACTCTTGATCTGGGCCATGGCTTGGACAAAGTACTACAGACGATCAGATTTCTACAGCAGACCAAAATTTACCATTCCAAGCATTAAAAAACCCATGTGCACATAAAATTGCATAGGGTGACAACAGGCAGAAGCAGCGTGACAGCATATGCTGCTCAATCTTTTACTGGAGGTGAGGGCAGGACAAAAGGAAGAAGGAGGGGAGAGACCTTTCAGCTTGCTCAAATTTCTAAATCAGCCCCATACAGCTGCACAACTGAAGTGAACTGGTTAGCTGGGGGAAACACACTGAAGGATATTAATAGCTGCTATATTAATTAATATTGCAACAGCTCCAGTTTACAACAATATAAGCTAACTATATGTATTTAATTTAGATATTCAATTTCAATATTTTTGCTAACCAATCACTAATGATGAAACATCACATGACGACAACTTTTCGTCTTAGATGTTTCACAGCACTCCTGAAGAACTCTGAATAGCAAAATAAATTCTGCCTAAAGAATAAGCTGTTTAAATCCTGAACCTTTCATGTTTCCAAGTGGATTTTGCAAATATGTAGTCCCAAGAGCTACACAGACAGCATATATCAGCTTGTTTTTCAAATACTCATTTCATAAACCATATTGCATAGAACTACTACCTTGACCAACCTACAACTTACTTCTGTCACCATGAAATTTCCGACATGTTTTTACAGCAACAAAAACATCTTCCTTTTTCACTGGCTCTCCCTATATGAACAGAACAAAAATTAACTTTTAATTGCAGGCTCTGCCTGTAACATTTTACAGGATCTGTATGTCTATACATATATATATAATAAAACAAAAAATACCTTTTCATTGTATAGTATATCAAGTAGAATAGTGTATCAATGCACCACAAAGTACATTTTTGTCTCCTGAAAATAGGTCACCAGTGGTCTAAAATTCCTGAAATAACATTATTGAAATACTTTTTTCATTGCTGTAGCATTCTAACATGAACTAAAACACCTATCACTAGGAAAAGAGAAAGAAGTAGAACTTGTTGATCTAAGAACGATTCATCCAAAACCAAAAGTTTTCTTAATTTCTTTGAAATTAATCATGATGAGAACATATTGAACTGTATCATACTTGGAAAAAGAAGCTTAAATGCTACACACTAGAAACTTTAAATTTCCTCAAGTGTAATAAAATAATTTAACCACTTTTATTTGTTTTCCTTTTTGGCACCTAGAGTTTTGCTCTCCTGGAAGCACAGATCATTTTGGCCTTTAGCAACACTTAACCCATAATATCATAAATGTATTCTCCTAGAGGCAGAAGAGATGGGTTGTAATTTAATGCACCAAATACTATATTACATTTTATCTTTAGCCTCAACATGTTTTAGCTTCCTACCTATGAAGAAAGATTATCTATACTTCAGTTATCTCACAGAAATGTAAGGAGAAATACTTTATAGATCACGTGCTGATCAAACATTGTGGCAGAAAGACTCATTAAAGCATATGCAATGTTTGTTTGCCAGCAAATATCCTGTGCCATGGAAGGCTGAAATCATATCCAAAAATATTAAATGCCAGAACAGACTTCTTTTTTTTAAAACACAATGACAAATATTTTCTTAAGGTCTGAGATTTTTGAAGTCAAGTATCATGCATTTTAGTAAGAGTTATACCTATATTAAGCAAGCGGTATTTAAAATACAGTACTTACGCAAAGTGGAAGAAAATTACTGAATGTTGTTGCACAATGATCAACATTATACGAGTTCACATCATCTGTGCAGAACTCAGGCACTGGAGTAAGATGCGGTCCTTCCCCTTTCTGCCAAATATATAGGGCAATCTATCAAAATAGAAAACATTTATATCAGTGATGAAACTGGATAAAAATTCTCAGGGCAAAAAAATGACGTTACATGACAAACCTAATAGGAAAACTCAAAAGTATGGGATGCTGTAGAAGGTTTGTCCCTTAGTTGACTAACTAGCTGCATACCTTACTTCTTCCTCACATTTCTAGAGCCAACATATAACTGTTTTGCTAGAAAATAAATTCTATAGACAGACAAGTTTTAAAATTTGCTTCATAGAATTACAATTAGTTTCATATATTTAAGCATGTCAAAACAACTCATCTTTAACTTTTATAAGAAGTGGTAGAGTCAACATTTACACCTTCTTTTAACATAAATAAAAATCCTTATTGTGTTGCTTTTAAAATTATTTTGGTAACTTGGAATAGTTAGGCCTGTTTCACCCTACATGGCAATTTTCAGCTTTTGAAAATAGATCCATTCTCTGATGACAACTGAAAATGCTCAAGATCAATAATGAAGCTCGTAGAAGCTGTAAAATGCAATGAAGGATAATGTAATAGATATGCTATCCTACAGTAGACTCTTGTCCATTTTAAACACAACAACAAAACATTTACAGAAAAAAAAAGAAGCAACCAGTGATGTCTGAAGATTTAAAAAAAACAACCAGCCACCCTTTGTCTTTACATTCAATTAATAATAAAAATAATAGTATTTCAATTTGTCCTTCATGACACATCCAGAACACTTAGACTTGCCCAACATTTCTATTGCAATACTTTCACACTGCTTGTAACTTTGCCAGACTAAGTATTCAGGCAGGAAAGTTTACACTGGGTGCCTACATTAGGACAGTTAAAAGATTAACTTAATTTCATGTAAAACTGTTCAGAAACTTGTAAGAACAAAATGAATTCTTAAAAACCTGAAAGGCAGAAAATATCATCTCATAAAGTATGTGGATTCAGAGCTTCCCAGCTGCACTGCCACACACTCCCTATTCTGAATGCTTTAGTCGCTCCTGAGGATGTGAAGGCATCATTGGAAAAGAGCTGTTTGAGCATATACTGAAGATGTAGAGATCCAGGTTCTAGGTTTGTTTCTGCCTAACTCAGAAGTTAGAGCTTCTGGTTTTCAAAAGGGCACCTACACCAACAAACCACAGATATTCTGGGCCAGACACCCTCCATGCTACCTCATGAAACTGAGTTACTGGGCAAAAAGTAAGGTTCACAGAACCAAGAAGACAGTGTAGTGAAGGGGAGCCTGACTAATGCACAGGGAGAATGGGACTCCTCCAAGGGAGGAAAATCAGTCTTGGGTTCTAGTTCTTGTTTCCCATGTTATTTACACATATTCACAATGACTCCTTCATGGAAAACAAGTTAAGTGCCTCACTGGAATATGGGACCAGCCCCAGCACACACCAAAGGCAATGAAAATGAGCCTTCTTTTCACTGTTTGATGCCTACTCAGGAACTGCAAGCTTTAACCCCACCTAACCACCCCACCTCCCCGCCCAGGGCCAGAATTCAGCTCCTCTTTTAGCAAATAATGTGATCGTTAAGCTATTAAGAGGGCATAATATTTCCTTCTCCCCAGTGTTCAGGAAGAACTTGGCACAAAGAGCATTCAGTATGGTCTGGACAAGCCGAAGTCACCAAACCACTTACAGACTTCTAAGTTACAGATTATTATTTTCCTGCCTACCTCATTTAGTGTCTCAACATCCTCAGAAAATCCAACTGCCTGCACACAGTCATTTCTGGAACTTAGAGGGACTAAAATAGAAGTGCCAGTTTTTTACAGGCCCTGTTAGAACTGGTGGCAAGCCTAAGAATATAATCATATTTTTGTAACTTAAGGTTCCAGATCTGGAAGATTCCTGATAGGGTACAGTCACATACTGCAACACAATTAACTGATGACTTTTGAGCAAGTTGCTGATTGTAGCTGGGCTCTCACAACTACACATGTGCTCTTAGACCACCTCAACAGCAAAGTAAAAACACTTCGCTTGATTGCACTGAAAAGAGTTTCAATGACTGTATTTTTCCTTGTAACTGGGCAGATGACTGGGAGCTGTGAGTACAACATGGTCACTACTACTGCTCAGCTGACAGTGACTTGCTAAACCACTGTAACTCAGCTGCAGGTTCTTTCAATTGTCAGTTTTGTAGTTTGCAAGTTCTAATCCCTCTTAGCCTCACCATTATTAAGTGCTCTGTTTATTTGTTGGTTTAGCAATGCTGCTGAACACAGAGACAATCTCAGCATTACGGATGAGTTCAACACAGTTCTAAAGGGAAAGGCCACTCTACAGGGAAGAAAAGGCATAAGCGTGAGTGGCAGTTAAGGCAAATACTGTTGACAGTGCCTGGAGTAGAGAAGGAGTATGGAAGCGACATGTAACACATACACACTTGTGGTAAGGAGCAGCCAATGAACACACATACATCTCCAAGGTTATCTTTTTGCCTTGTCACCACACTCACATTGCGGAATGTAAGTAGTTCTTGACCCTGCCTTGTAGCTTGGAGACTATGTAACAGCAAGGGATGGGATTTCTAAAGAGCTTCCAGTACATTTTAAGATTGCATTCATTCAGAATTCAGCTATTCAGAATTCATATCTATCACATGAACCAATAAAGAAGCAACGCTCCTGCAGCACAAAGAATATTTAACAATTGTAACTTAATATAACAATACGTAACTCAATAACATGAATTATTTATGAAAGTTTATAACGTACTAAGATTTCCCACTGAATAATGAAATCTTGAACAGAAAGCCTTAGACTGGTGTGAAGCTATCGCACTTCAGAAGCAAAGTTAGAGTGCCATTTTGGGTTATAGAACAGGATGACAGACATAAAACAAGGAAAATGGATTTACAATAAAAAGAAAAAAATATTGTTAGCCTTAGTCCTAGTTCAAAACTAATGTTAGATACTCAAAAAATTAATCATTCACTTCCAGTTTTGAACAAGCATCAGGAAATATGCTATATATTGTGCATTTACAAAAAGTCTAAAAAACAATCTACAAATGAGCAGCAGCATGACAAAACCCCTTTATTTGCAAGATAGGCCTTTCAAATGGAAAGGGATATCAATGTTATTGATACAAGGAACAAGAAAGCAGTAGGCTGAAAAAAACCCTGATACACGGCACAACAAAATACCAAAGACTAGAGGCACATGTTATTAGGACTCTGTCAAACTAAAACATTTCTTAAAACTTTTATCGCCCTTCATAAATTTAAAAATTACACACAATGATTAAAGATCACCAATTATATCCTTGGGTTTGCTGTCAATCTTGATTCACACAAGAAGGCCATAGAGATAAAAATGACTTAAGGAGAAGATGGTGATTTATAAAATAAATGAGGGGGAATGGAATTGTCTCTAGGGAGACACGAGACTGTGCAGAAAGAATAACTACAGGGCTGAAGTAGGTTATCAATGGCAATAAATTTGAAATGAAACATATGCAAAGAACTGCTAACAGAATAAGAAGTGGATGGAAGTAATTTTGCCTTGAGTGATCGATGGTTTTTCATTAAGCAATCTGTGGCACATAAAAGAAATGTCTGCTAATGATTTTTTTTAATACGACTATGTTTAGAGGCTTTGTCAGTGCTGAGGCAGACTGGAATACTGGGAATATACGAATGCCTTTGAGGTAACTTACAAAAAGAAGATTAACAATGTGAAGCCCAAGGTCTTGGATTTAGAAAACTTAACAATGGCTTGTTTCATCTAGCAAAATGAAAGCTGAGAGGGGTCCAACTGCTTTTGAGAAATACATCAGTCAAGGAGAGGAAACTATGTGAAAGAATAGTGTTGGCACAAAACCAAGTTCATTTAAATACGCTACTAATTTATACTCTATAAATACACTGTAGATTTATGTTGGAAATCAGGAGATTTATAACCATTACAGAATAAAGATCTGTAACAGTAGCAGTGGTTTTAGGCGAGGTGGGTTTTTTTCTGGGCTGGAACCACAATTTACAGTTGACTTTCAGGTTTTTTAAAAAACTAAACCAAATTCAACATCACTTATAGTTTCAGGCCAAAATCAGCAAGTTAATTCAAAATTCATCTTCCCCTTCCACCCTGGTTCAGGAGTTCACTTTGGTGACAGTACAAAACCCTGGCCTGCACAAACATTTTGAAGGCAGAAAAAATAAAAAAGTTTCAGAAAAATTAGCACTGCTGTTCTTTCAGATCCTCCCACGCCTTACTTCTCATGTTCCTTTCATTCAACTCATTCTCTGAAAGACCTAGTGGTTACGTTTTAAAATGGTTGCAAACCAGAGGCAAAAAACAACTTTCCAGACTTCCAGGCTGCAAGTTGCAGAGTTGATTGTTCACACAACAGTTAGGTTCCTCAGACTATTTAATCCAAACTCCACCATATTTAGCTCTTAGAGTCTGATTTAGAAAGAGAGTGAGGCTGGCTGCTATGTGAGATACTGTTCATGCTTCATGAAATGGAAGTCTCTCTCGTTCTTTATAGAGCAAGCCTCAGAAGATACCTTACTATATACAACGATGTATGTATTTATATATGAATGCAATTTTATTAATGAATTCTTCTATGCTTAAAATATAGTTTTAAAGTATTGCAATATTCTAAAGAAAGGGAAAGAAATTAAACTTGCCATTGCAGTCGACCTTTTTAGCAATGTCTGCGACATGTTACTTCCATTAACATTTATCAACATTCAAATATATAATTTGAGACAATTCTTTCTTTCATCACATCACTGCTTACCTCATGCTTTAAATCTATTGTAAAGTCTGACTTGAGTGGTTCACTTTTCAACTTCTTTGCAAGCCTATACAATTAAAGATGAAGATATTTATTCAAAAAAACATATTAAATTTAAAAAATCTATCACTAGTTTATGCAACAAAGTGTGGCTGGTATTATTGACCATCGTACAAGGGGAAAAAAAATAATAGATCACGGTTCCGTATTTATCATCCCAAGAAGCAATTTACATTTCTTTTTCATGACAATTTTTTTTTTCCATCCGAGCAATGTCTGATGATGTTAATACCAGCTTCCAGCATACACATTTTGATACGTACTTCCTGCCCAATAAGGAAGTTCTCATCTGGAGTAGATGGACAGTCTGGCACAACATTTTCAATAGATTAAAAGCAGTAGTGCGTTTGAAGCTCAGTATTGATCAGCATCTCGAACTTCAGACAATATTCTCTTTTTGTGTATACCAATGCACACTATTTAAGCACCTTCATTTTATGAAAACATCAATCTTTGCCACAGCAAGATGCATTTAACTTCTGAAATCAATGAACTTTTCAAATCTCATTTAAAAACTAAGCATCTAATCTGAAATAAATATCTAGGTTGTCACTACAGCATGAGAAATACTTCTAGAGGGCAATGCAGTCACTCTGAGATCCAGGAATAAAACTGCTGGTATGGAACCAGTTGAACAACTAGTACTGGTTAACTATTCATAGAATCATAGAACGGTCTGGGTTGGAAGGGACCTTGAAGACCATCTAGTCCAACCCCCTGCCATGGGCAGGAACACGTTCCACCAGACCAGGTTGCTCAAAGCCACATCCAGCCTGGCCTTGAACACTGCCAGGGAGGGGGCAGCCACAGCTTCTCTGGGCAACCTGTGCCAGTGTCTCACCACCCTCACAGTGAAGAACTTCTTCCTAATATCTCATCTAAATCTCCCCTCTTTCACTTTGAAACTGTTGCCCCTTGTCCTGTCACTACACTCCCTGATCAAGAGTCCTTCCCCATCTTTCCTGTAGGCCCCCTTTAAGTACTAGAAGCCTACCATAAGGTCTCCCCGGAGCCTTCTCTTCTCCAGGCTGAACAACCCCAACTCTCTCAGCCTGTCCTCCCAGGGGAGGTGCTCCAGCTCCCTGGTCATCTTTGTGGCCCTCCTCTGACTCGCTCCGACAGGTCCATGTCCTTCTTGGGCTGGCGGCCTCAGAGCTGAACGCAACGCTGCAGGTGGGGGTCTCACGAGAGCAGAGTAGAGGGGGAGAATCACTTCCCTTGACCTGCTGGCCACACTTCTTTTGATTCGCTTTCTGGACTGCGAGTGCTCATTGCTGGGTCATGTTGAGCTTCTCATCAGCCAACACCCCCAAGTCCTCTTCTGCAGGGCTGCTCTTGATCTACTCATCACCCAGCCTGTATTTGTGCTTAGGATTGCCCTGACCCACATACCGGACCTTTCAGGACTATTAACTATTAACACAACATTAACTTTTAGGTAGGCAGAGTGAAGCAAAATAAATCACACATACAGCAATGATACAGAAATCTATTTCTGTACCCTTGTGTACTAATGAATTCTGAAATGTTTATCTATAATAATTATGCTTGGAATGTGTAGAATAAGAAAGAAATGGCATTTTATCAAAGATATATTTTCTAGGTAAGTTTACAGTGGGAGCACAAGTCTATGCAGGCATACCCAGAGCTAGCGGTACATTACTGTGCCTGGTCAAATGTCTTGCTATGCACCTTAGATCCTCAGAGTAATATAAACTTACATGTATCAGCATGGATGCAAATAATATAGGTGGCAGCAGCAAAAGCTCAGCGTAGGCTCTGAAGCCAAATCCATGAGAGGCCAGCCTGCACTGATTGAGTACATGCAAGCTGTCTGCCATAGCTAAGCTGCAATCAGCTTCAATTCAAAGACAGCTCAAAATTAAATTTCACTTTGCGTATCTACATGATCTGCAATAAGACCTTCCACTGTACTTCAGGAACACCTTCCTCTTTTATAGAAAGCATTAAACCATATGAAATTATAATGCATTAAAATAATACAGATTAGCATCTAGAAATATTGTATAAATTAAACATTCTTAATTACTATCAATAAACAAGAAGTGATTAAAAATTCAATTCTTACTTGTTAACAAGTGGAATGCTAAGTGCCCAACCAGCAGCAAAATCTGGAAATTTAAAGATTGTAGGATTTTCAGCAAAGGCATAATGGTGAATTATTGTAGATTCTTCATCATATAATGCTTTACCTAAAAACCACTCCTGTAAAGGAATATAGGAAACAATTTTGTTCATCTACAGCATCCTTTTAGTGAAGGTGACGACTGCATTCATGCTGAATAAAGCAAACCTGAAAACAAAAACAAGGGAAGTGTATTGTTCACAACAATACGGACAAAAATTGTACTTGGTAAGAAATGAAACTAAAGTCAGTTTTCCAAATTCAAACACTGTATTTTCAAACTACAGCATGTGCCCTGGATTCCACCTGTTCAAAAGGCACTGACTCCCAGAGTCATAGAAGGTTTGAGGTTGGAAGGGCCCTCTTGAGATCATCTAGTCCAACCTCCCTGCTCAAGCAGGGTCAGCCAGAGCAGGTTGCCCAGGACTCTGTCCAGTCATGTTCTGAATGCACTCCACAACCTCTCTGGGCACCCTGTTCCAGTGTTTGACCACCCAAACTGACTGCTGACTAGACAATACACTCATTGCATTCAGCAACTTCACATGTATCCATTTTGAATTTGCATCTGTCTAGCCTCTTTCACACTAGCAAACTTAAAAAGCAAGTATGTTTTAAATACCTTGATCTTCAAAACAGTTAAATGAAGAAGGTCCTAAGTATCCATTTGTAAATTAAAAAATTAATTAGTAGCATTATTATTAGAGTTTTAAATAACAGTGTTTAATAATTTACTACTACTTCTATGGTTCTATGATTCTACTATTGACTCTCCTGTACCTGAAAACAACAAACAGACTTAAATACTACTTCTAAAATCAGTATATCCCCAAATTTTTGCAGAATAAGGACTGCAATGAAGGGAAAAAAGAATACATGTATATATATAAAATTAAAAATATATATATAAAGACAGCTTTTCAGGCCTACAAGTACAAACAATGAATTCTGATTCACATTTCTGAATTCACAATTCCGAATCACCTTAATGGTTATATTAAATCTTTAAACTGTGAAGTTCTTTGCATTATGACATTAATTCAGGCTTTTTCTTTTCCTGAAAACTTATCTGTTCCTCATATATCATCAGTAAAACAGATTCCAAGTTAGGGCAACTGTTTTTTCACAAAAGATTCTCTTTCTCCATACTTCCTACCATATCTGATTTTTCCCATACTTTAAAGGGGCAGCTATCAGCAGCAATGAAAAATTCCTTCAAAGTATTAGCACAGTTCGCACACTTCACATGAGATAAATAAATAATCTACACAAAATTCAAGACAAAAGGAAAACTATTCAAAAGTACTGTAAAAACATCTGTCAAAAAAAGCCCCAGTCTAACCCTAAGAGGATCCTGTGTCTCAGGATCAGAAGAGAGGTCTGCATGCACCAGGAGACACTTCCAGCCAAAACCAACTGGCTTAGCCTGGCAGAAGTGTGTGCAACCATAGCTGCCCCAGAGGTCATCCAGCCTGGCAACCCCCCTGGCTTCCAGCCAGGACTCAACCTGGCTCCTCAAAAGGCAATAAAAGGGCAGCCCTCAGGAGCTACCAGGGGTGCTTGTCTTGCCACACACGCCGAGTCAAAGCTATGGGGTGCTGCCTGCTTCAAGAACACCATCTCCGCAAGGATGGCCAGGACCAATATAAGCAACCATGAGTCAGAGATAAGGGATGCCACCCTGCCAGGAACACCGACTCTCCGAGGGACTGATGCAAGTGTCACATGGTATGCATATGTACATATACGCGTGTGAGGTGCTGAATGCTTTTCCGACAAATTCTGCACATTTCTCCTCTCTGATCAGATACTCTCAACAAAACTAAACTAAATAGATCTTTTACTTGACTAGTGACCTCTTAAGGTAACACAAATGCTGAAAACTTGTTTGCTCCCATAGTCCCCATGTGCCTCCTGAGGCTGAGGCAGGTGTTCAGCTGCTGAGGAAACAGATAAAGTTAAACTGACACTACACAATATATGGAGAAGATAAGGGTGGAGATTTTTCCCCATGGATTTTTTTTAACCACCTTCATAGGAGTTGCTACATGGTACCTACTTACTCAGCCTTTGATTTATACCTTCAATCACAACACACACTGTTTTCTCCTTCCTTTATTTGAAGGATTCAATAGTGCTCACTGGAAGGATTAAAAACCAAACAAAATATTGGGAGGTAAAAGAAAATGGGCAAACATACTAATCTTTATGCACGAAGATGATTGCCTTGGAAGAACTGAAATAATTCACTAGAATCATTAGTGCACACCATTTTTTAGCTGGTTTAGGGTGTCCAAGGCTTCAAAATATTCCTAACACAAGCACACTATTCTGTTTCAGAAACAGTAAATAAATAGTAACATTTTAATATGACAGTACCATCTGCAGACAATTTTTTTCTGGACCTCCACTTTGTTATGCTACAGAGTGAAAAAAATATATAATTACTTATCTTAATTTTGCATGCTCATTTTTACATCAAAACAATCTATGGATTAAAAAAAACCCAACAACCTTACTTTCCTTTCTCTATAAAACACAGAAAATTAAACCCATACATATACCCTCCTCAGGCTCTCACATACTATTTTTTCTGGCAATATTAAGCCTCGAATCACAGTGAAGGCATTCCAGATTATAGCCAGTACTCTCCAAGCTTATTTGATCATAACATAGTTTACTTACTACACTGATATGTAGGAGAAGTCAATCCGTGCAGGCTGGCTTTACAAGACCAAATTAGTTACATGTGAATTAAGTTACTTATAAAGTAACTTAAGGAATGATGGTAATCAAATTGTATATAGGCAAAAATGCAGACTAAAAAAAAGAATTCTATTTATTGCATTATGGATAACTACCATCCACTGGATCAGTTAATATATTGTGCTTCAAAAATGGCAAAAATCATCTATCTTTAGTAAGGGCACTCCAAAGTCTTTAGAACACTTTAAACTAATAGCTGAAGGAACGTGATGCAACAAAACTCAGTACCAGACCTCAGGGTGAGCAGAGGTGACTTCACCTAACTTGCTCATCAAGTTGATTCCACCCACTCACTCTTGATACACTTACTCACGAACACCAAGACAAGTGTGCCGAATTCATCTGTTCAAGACTTACGTCTGACACACAGGACAGCAGTTTTCAGCTGTCACATCCTCGCTGTGTCTTACTACAACATCTTGTAAGTTCTTATGATTCTCAAAGACAAACTGTTCTTTAGACTGATTTTTATACCCTTTAAGATTCAACAGCTACTAAGTCATTGCTGCCCATCAGCAATGATTTACTCATTCTAGATATCTTTGGGACTGTAGTCTGTCATGCTGTCAGGTTGACAGAAGAGGAGTGGCACATACAATTTGGTTTAACCTTGCTGCCTTCTTACATTATGAAAGCAGAAGTTGGATCTATCTGCTGTTGAAACAGAATCACAGAGGGTTTGAGTTTGGAAGGGACCTCTGGGGATCATCTGGTCTAACTTCCCCTGCTCAAGCAGGGCCACCTATATGGCAGGTTGCCCAGGACCACGTCCAGACAGCTTGCGAGTTATCTCCAAGCATGGAGACTCCACAATCTCTTTGGGCAACCTGTGCCAATGCTCAGTCAACCTCACAGTAAAAGTGTTTCCTGATGTTCCATCTGAGTGCTTACCTTGAGGTCTGAATGTAAATCAAATATTTCTCACTATTTCTCAGTTTTACTGCAGTCAATAATGTCCTTGGTTATCAATGCAGGTCATTCTCTTAACGTTCCTCCACAGGCTCTTATGATGCTTTCACACATCTGTTTTCACTCAATATTACATTCATATCAGTCTCAATAGTTCTGTTACTAATTTCTATATATCAAGACTGAAAAGCTGCAGATTCATCAACTATTCACATGCCCCCTGTAGACCTTTTATTGTGATTAATGTATATCAGCTTTCTATTATGCAGACTGCTGACATTTAAAAATGAATAATGAATGAGCTCATTCTGGACTAAGTCATTCTAAATTTTGTGATTGGTGGACTTTACTGCACATAAGGAATCAGTTATGGACTGTTACATTAAGATGATGATTACTATGTACAAAAGCGAAACATTTTATTTTCCTTTTAATGCAGGTTGGAACATAATTTGCTTTTGTAATAGAATTTACATGTAATGCAAAGAAGAGATTAAAACTGGCATAAGGGCAGCATCTAGAACAAAAAATTTAATGTATCTATTCTGAAAACATCAATTAGGAGTACATATTTCTGAAACAGAAATAAATGGATATTTGAAACATCTGAATATAGTCAGTCGGCCATTCTGAAGACAGTGCTTAAAACTGTAAGATTTCTGAATTATTATTAGTACCATTTGGGAAAAGAAATGTAAGAAAACAGGACAAGGCCATGTGCCTGCAAAAGAAGTAAATATGCTGAAGTGAGACCTGAAGCAGAGTTCAATACTCAGTCAAAGTAACAATAAAGAGGCAAAACCTATTTCACACAGGAGATTTTGGCTTCTTTTATTCCAGACAAAGGACAGACTTCAAGCTGAATTTTTTTCTGAACACTGAGAATTCTAAACATTAACAGCTTTCGTGTCAGTTGCATTGCAAAATTTACTTTGTACTTTGGTGACTTCGTTTTTCTTTTGTTCTACGAGGTTTCTGGTTGTTGTTTATTTTCCAGCAGGTAAAAAAACCCTGTCTTATCACCAAGACAGTTCAGAAACATAGTGCAAATAAAATATCCTACTATATTAGATCAGAGCGAGTTAGTCAAACGAAAATCAGTTATTCTGTCTGATGATAATAAGAACTGATGACAGACAGGAAAATGAGGAGAGGGGACCACACAGCAGACTATATTAATCTTTTTACTGATGCTACATCATTTTCAGACTATCCACAGAAGGAACCTTTTTCTCTGACCAATTTTAACAGTTCTTCAACAGCTAGGCAGGTGCTTATACTGCTTCATGTTAAATACCTTGATCACTCTTAGCCTCAGCAACAGAAGTCTATCTCCCTATTTTAAGCTGTTTGCATAGATCTTTTCCATTGTTTGGAGCTCTGAGCCATCCAGGCAGTGTTATAAAATTAAATTCTGGACCACAGAAACTGTTCCGTAACTAGGAATTCTAACATTCTGTATTTATAATTTTGGACTTAAAACGATTCCACATGTTTCATCTAAAAACCCATTCAAGCACATTCAAAAGAAAGTTAAATATCTAAATTTTAATTTCACCTTAGACCCATCAAATCTTCCAAGTGTTTCTAGCAGCTTTACAACTTGTATTCTTGTATCTTCTTCACAGAAGAATATCCATGAGGAGTTCCTACCATAGGTAACAGAGAAGCTAAAAAAGGAAAGTAACATTTTACTAATAAACTGGCTTATGAACAGAATGATAGATCAACCCACATTCCCAAATATAAGTACTTTGCAATCAATTATTCCTTTACACAGAAACAGAAACTTTTACTACTGCCTTAGAATTATATATCAAAAGGACCACAGTGAATGGGCGTGGGCTGGGGGTGCACAAGGAGTTGGGAGGGGACACAGCCGTGACAGCTGACCCCAACTGACCCAAGGGATATCCCACACCGTGTGACGTCGTGCTCAGCATATAAAGCTGGGGGAAGGAGAAGGAAGGCGGGGAGGTTCGGAGCGATGGCGTTTGTCTGCCCAAGCAACTGTTATACGTGGCAGAGCCCTGCTCTCCTGGAGATGGCTGAACACCTGCCTGCTGATGGGAAGTGATGAATGAACCCCCTGTTTTGCTTTGCTTGTGTGTGCAGCTCTTGCTTTACCTATTAAACTGTCTTCATCTCAACCCACAAGTTTTCTCACTTTTACCCTTCCGATTCTCTTCTCCACCCCACCAGGGGTGAGTAAGCGAGTGGCTGTGTGGGGCTTAGTTTCCAGATGGGGTTAAACCACGACAGCCAATATTCCTATAAAGCTACCCTTCCTCTGTGTCTTGTAATGGTATTTGATTATTCACTGCTTTCTGCTTATGATACTTAATCTGCTAAACTATAATAGCCAGAAGAACTCACGATCCATTCATCTTTTTAATTCATAAAAGCATATACTTGTTGCCTACTCAACACTGAAATCTGGGCAACTCTTTGCCATCCAGGCAAGCAAACAAGATACAATCAGCTGGGAAAGACACTTCCTAGCTGTTCCTTCTAGAACTTGCTAAACAAGTATAGAAAGGGTATCAGATCCCCTCATGTTTTTAAATATGTACAGTATATTCAGTGCCCTGTGAAGACTGAAGACTTTTCATCTTCTGAAACAAAGTATTTTGTCCAACTTAACCTGTGCCTAAGAACTAAAAATTAGTAATTGCCATAACTGTTTAGAGGCCTCCTTAGAAATGCTGACAACTACACAACTGAAGAAAGCCATTCTTCTAAAAGCAGTTTTCAGATAAGAATGCATCTTGTATCACAATTCTGAGCATCATCAGCTGCTACAGAGCGGGCTGATCTCCCTTCCTCCTCTTCCGTCCACTGAGAAAACTAAGCAGTACAAGCCTCACAACATCGACGTATTTCTATACTACTCCATGTCTTAATTGTGCCAAAAGTGGTAAGTGAAATAGTAGATACAAGGAAATTCATATTCCAGAATTCTCAAGATGGAAATCTCTACTTAAAATTCCTCTTCTGGTTTCTGAAGAGTTTTATTCTGCTTTATCACACAAATAAGCATTTGTATTTTTGCTTCTGAGTTTTGCTATCTTGTAAGAGCTGTGTCTGCAAAAACTCTGTCACTGAGACATAATCCAGAGAAGAGGAACCACTAGGTCATTGAAACAGTAGCTAAGAAGGAAAAACAAAGATGATTGATAGATGGAGCATCATCTTCCAGTTTTTCAATTTACTTCAATTCTCCTTTTACTTCTTTTCACAAAGATAGCTAGTATACAAGCACTAATTTGATGTTTCTACACACATGGAAAGCAATGGAAAGCAGAAGGAAAAGCATCCTTCTGGGTAACTTTAATAAATTATATTAACTAAATTAAACCTCAAGAGGCTGCAGAGCCTTTGGCATCAATTTCAAATGCAAGTTTTAGGCAAACGATAGCCTTTAGCATCATGGAGCTTTAGGACTTTCTGGAAGAAGAATCATTGCTTCCTGACACTACTACGTCTAAATGCAGCATGTCTTCCTTGGAGCCATCTGCTCAAGCAAAGAAGAAAAGATATTTGACATTACCAGTCTTCTCTGACCATACTAAGATGAAAACTGGCCATACAAGCTCCTAAAAAGATGTTGAAAGCTACACCTTTTCACTATAGAGGCAAACCACCTCTTAGAAGCACTGTAAGCAATAAAAGATAGAACTCCCAAACAGGTATTATTATCTGTTTTTAAAAAATTATTTATCACTTCATTCAGCCAAGTAAAAGGAAACCTCTGAAATACCTCACACCTTATGCTGTGACAAGTGGGACCAAATAGGAAAATACACATTTAAAAATGGTATTTCTTTTGACTAGTTTACTTCCCCAATATTTTTTAAACCCACAAAGACTTGAAGAAGGTACTTGTTCAGTTACATTACATTATTGTTTTATTTAAAATAGCTTTCTCTATTTAATGAAATTTAACAGAAAATTGCTTTGGAAAACGAAAAAAAATAGAGTAAAAAAGTGAAAAGATAAGGCTGCAACTCTCATTCAAAAACTCTTCTGAAAAAAGAGGTCTGAGTAATTATATTTATATTCTTGTTTACAAAATATTCTGAAGATAACTAGCACTCATTACACTTACTCTCTCATTAACGGTAATATTGTCCATGCACCTTCATGCCCGTCCATCTGATGAATAAGCAGAACTGTAGGTAATTCCTTTAAGAAAAATAAAAATATCCCCATTAAACTTGAATTATATGCACTTTTTTCCTAAACACCAACTAATCTTAATAAAAAATTACTCTGGAATGACTATTTAGTTCTTACTGGCAAGTAGCCCTGCAGAATAGATGACTTAGGATGGTACGAAACAAAGTGACCTGCATTTTAGGGAAAGTGTTTCTTCCAACTCACGATTTCTTAATTCTCTATTAGATATAAAGCTAATACACTTCAGGTTAAATGTTTTGTATAGGTCCCATGTAATCAATTAAGCAATATATCATACTAATTTTTTTTACATTATGGGATTTTATGACATGGTAAAGAAAGACATAAATAATTCAGGGTATTCTACAAAGGCTTCCATCGGACAATCATATTACACAGAGCTTATGTGAGAGTTCTAACACTTTTCCTTGCTGAGTTCAGCTTTGACCTCTCACACCAACATCATGACAAAACCCTATGAGTTTATGCAAAAATCAAAATGAGGAGTCAGCATTTTTTCTTCCTGAAAAACTGAAGTATCTTCCTAGAAAGGAACATATTTTCATAAATTTCTTTGCTTTTCTGTTACTTGAGATCTCTTCAGTGTGGCAGATGCCAATGTCTAGCAGACAAGCTATCATTCTGGGGTAGTTCCTAAGAAAGCACTCTTTAAACATGGCCCTCTGATAAACCACACTGCATAATTTATTCACTAGTTCATACATGTAAAAAGTGGGAGAGGGAGGGAGATATATATTCCATAATATATAGGCAGTATCTTACTCCATTGATATACTACATTTATAAGTACAATTCTCTACTGCAGCATCATTAGGGTCTTAACCACCTCACAGATGTCTAAATCCTTTGGGTTAGGTAACTGTACTAGTACTGAAGCAAAAATCTTTCTGCCAGAAATGCCTAACTCTCCCAGCTTATCTAAACTTCCTCACCATCTCAGTCCATTCCATTCCAACAACTAACCTAACAAAACACTAGTGGTGTTAATGCATTTTAACACAAATGACTTAACACCAGCAGGTAAATGATCCCACCTTTCCATCATACAAACTGTTGTGATTGACGGCTCATCACCATGACCACAAAGAAGCAAAGAGGAACAGCAACAGGACAGGAATCCCAGTAACCTAACTGGAGAAAACTGAGTGCCTGTGACCCAGCTCCCGCCAGGGCTGGCCCAAGGGAGCCATCAGCCTGTCCAGGTGTGACACTCACCAGCTAAAGCGAAGGGAGAGGCTCCCCGCTCATCTTACAGTCTGACAGAGGGTTGCTGCTTACAGGGGCATGGGACTCATCACAGGATTCAAAGAGCATTTTGGCATGGCACAAAACTTACTAGATGGTGCTTAGGGAAGATGAAAGGCCAAAAAAAAGAGGGATCAGAGTGGTCTGAGGAGAAATAACAATTGGTAAACACAGGGAAAAAAGGAGTTGGTCATTTGAAACAAATTGCTAGTCAGGATGCTTGTCTGACCATGTCGCGCACTGATCACTGCACTCTGTCCTGTCTTCTTGAATTCCATTTCTAACTCCTGGGCAGGAGGCTCTGTGTATCTGTGTGTATTTGGAGGTCTGAGTGCCTGCAACTGGAAAGGGGACCATGAATCATAGGTGTGCACTTGTCTGTACTTCTAGAAACTGGGGAGAGTTGAGTGGATGCATGCTGTCTGGGTGTTTCAGTGTATTTAATTACTCATGAGCATCAAGCTGGACTAGGAGTAGGAAAAGAGGCTTAGGAGCCAGGTATCAGAGCAGCCGCAAGTCTGAGGCAAACACTGGGGAGATCAAGGAGCCTGACAGTTGGTTACTGGAGGAACCAGGAGGTCCCAGCTACAGGGGAGCCTCTGGGGTGCAAGGGTCAGCTACTGGTAGGGTTTTAAGTCTGCACCAGGTACCCATTTGCGTGTGTGTGTCTATGCGTGAAGCAACAGCAAGGCCAGGGTGTCTAGGGATCAACTGGATACCTTGAGTGTCTAAAAGCTACTGGGAGGATCCACAACTTGTGCAAGTGTGTGTGTGGGTGTGCAGGAGCAGGGCTGAGCACGAGCAACCGGAACAGAGTGGTGAGCCACACAGCAAGAGTCACATGCCCACCTGCCATAAACTGCAGAGACTAAGGATGTGAGACCAGCGACTGCTGGTATGGGGAACACATGCTCAGCCTTGCTCCTGGCTGGATCTGGGGACACTGCCAGGCTAGCAGATTCAGCAGTTCCTAAGACAAACCTTTATCTCTCAAGGGCCTAATTCCTTTCCACTTAGACCTTGCATATGTCAAACATTTTTGCTTGACGAATGCATCTCGTGAATATAAGCCAATTCCATCCACATAAAAGTCATATTTAAACACAAAAATAATTTATTCTCTAAGAAAAGCTGTAATATAAAGTTCACACTGCTTGCTGACTGTCAAGTTTACTTTAAATCCTTTTCAAGGGCAGTTAAGCATAGAACCTAGAAATACATAAAACCTCCAAACTTCATGCACTAAAGAAAAGATCTCTATCACTCTAAATAATAACCGTGTCTCTCAGGAGTGCGTTAAAACTATCAAAAAATAACAATCTACTGTTTTTAAAAATATTTATGCTATTGTGAATGACCCAAATTTAAAAGAAACAATGCCAAAATTTGGAACAGGATATTCACCTGCATCTAAAATATCAGTGGGTCTAATTTATGGTTCTAGTGAAAGCCAATCCATCAAATACATTTCTGGTTAGTTTCAATTTACTGCAAACCCGAAGAAGTCCAGAGGTTTTCGGTGGAAGTGGCAAATCTTAGTAACAGTATACTCAACATCTGGTATTTCACTAAAATGTAACCACTTCATGGTAAAACCGTAAAAAATATGTTTGCTTATGGGATTGCAGACAGGAAGATAAAAGGGCAAACCTCTGTCTTTACAAGAATACTTGTTTTTACAAGCAAATCCTGTAGTTACGCTAGTATTTGTACATGGCCACGTATTTTGGAGCCAGAGAGATAAAAGTTATTAATATATTCAGTGTCTATATCACACTAGAGGCTGAAGTTGTATTCATTTTAGATATAAACGGCATTTTCCCATGCAAAAGGTATGAAGTAAATTACATAAGCTAAGTAGCCGTACCATATACTTAAGTATCTCCTCTTTAACAGTAAAACCCAACTCTCTCCTTTGTGCAGACCAAAGAAGTGATGTTAAAGAGCACTCTTTCTTCAGCTAACCTGATACTTTCGCAAGGTATCTTTTCCAAGGTATCTTTTCTTTTTGACATTCTCATAAGCCTGTCTTTCTCTACCCAACCTCCTCTAAAACATGAAAATACATGCCCTGCATATACTTTTCCTTCCACTCATCTCTACACAATGCAACAACTCTGATTTAATAAAGGAGATGCTTAAAAAACACTGTACAGGTAAAATAGCCTCTTCCAAAAATACAGGAGGATCTTTGTTGCTTTTCCTTTTTCTTTTTACGTATTTTCGCTCTGAATCTAGTGGAACTGGGCTGACCTAGTCATTTCATTTATTCTACCTTCAGTACAAGGATAGAAAAAAAAGCAAAAAATACTCGATGTCAGCTTTGGAGAGTGAAAGGGCATGTGCTGACTAGCTCATCAGGGGATGGCTAGATGGTCAAGGCAGTGGTAAGTAACTGTGTCTGTGTACCTCATAACATCATAAAACACATTATGATCCACATCTTCAAACCAATTCAAAAGACTTAGCTTCAGACATATCTTTAAAATAATTTAATATTATTTATTCAAGTTGAAGTACAAAGATGCTAGTGATACACTCAATTTCACAGCAATTCATCAACAGAACTGAAATTAAACTCTGGTTCTTTTCATTAAAAGTTCCCTTCATTTACACATGAAAAACCTTGGGGGAATAGCATATCCAATGAGGAAAAAGATCTTTCAGAATAAAAGAATTTTTAAATAATAATGACAAGAATTGCTTACCTGAAACAAATACCTGAAATCTTTCTGTACTACATGCAATTTCAAATTAATCTACCAAAACCTATCTAAAAAGTTCACAATTTACAGACAACAAAACAGTGCAGTGTAAAAACAAAGAAAAGGGCTAAGATTTCACAGACTACAAGGTCAAAAGGGACCTCTGTAAGCAGCTGGGATGGCTGAGATCATTCCCAGATAAAATGGGATTTCCAGAGCCACAGCTCGGTCACATTCTCTAAGACCCCCTAGCAGACCTGTGCTTGCTTTATTTTCCTGCAGATCGGAGTTCACTGAATTTCATCTAAGCATAATCAAACCTTGCCCTAAGTGTATGGTTTAATGAGAACATACTTTTTAGAAGATAATTCAAACTGGATGTTGCTCACCAGTATTTATCACATCCAGTTGTGGCCTAGTACTGTAAGTACTACACATAAACAGACACGGAACTGTGGTGAAATGCAAAACAAGACAGTAGTACGTTTACTGTTATATTAAGTCACCTGATCACAGCAATTAGCAAATTTATAACACATTATAGAAAAATACACTAGTGTATAGGAATCTGCTTGTAATGAGTCCAGTATGCTGGTATCTGCAGATGTCTTGCATATATCTCTGTGCTTTGTAAGTTTATTAAACTGCCTCAGGAAACCCAGAACTGGGGGGCAGGAGGGAGGGATCCTAAAACCTAGACAGTACTGTTGAATGGCACAGTTACAGAATTAGAAATGTTTTCCTAGTTTTTGCTCTATATGCTCTACCAGCACTTAACAGTATTTTCCCTACTCTCTTATCTTCTTTTCAGAAATTAATCCTCACACACATTCAGAGCAAGCCTATCTACCCTCTTCTCAGCCCTCCCTTGGGGGGCTACATAAGCCAAACTCTTCCAGTCATCTGTTACGACACCTTTGACAAAGTAGAGCTGTGGAATACACACTGAAGTCTCCCTACAGCTTTATTTTCACAAACATGCCACTGCTGTAGACACCCTGAAGGATTTCTAAAAATGACAGAAAGTAAGAGCAA